CCCGTCGCAGCCACTGGGTCCAGAGCTGGTGGCAGGCAGCCCTCCCATCCACCATGCAGGTCCATGTCCACCGTGGCTTCCACACGCGTCCGCGGGAGCTGGCCCCCCTGAGCCACAGTCTGCTGGGTCCGCAGTGGGCACTGGCCTCTCTCAGCTCTGACCCTGTCAGGGCCACGTGCTCCCGGGGCCACCTGGGACACAGGGAGGGCAGGTGCGTCCAGGTGCCCCACCCCGGCCCACAGGCTGAGGATGGTGCCCCCCCCCCCGTGTATTCCCCGATGAGGACGGCCTCCCTGCCCCCCAGTCCTCCACCAGCCCCGCAGTGTCACAGGCAAGAAAGGGAACATGGTCTGAAATCCAGGTCAGAGGCCCTAGGTTTTATCTTTTTTATCAGAAGCCAGGACTGGGGCTTGCAGACCTGCTGACACGCACAGGGGCAGCCCTTCTGGCCCAGGAACCCCACCAGCCCTGGGCCCCAGCTGGTCTCTCAGGGGAGGAGGGTCTGCCCAGGCCTCCTGTTACTCATTAACGAGCCTGACTCAGGGTCAAGTGCAGGGCAACCAGATGCCCCAGCTGCTCGCTCGCTCTCTCTCTCGCTCTCTCTCTCTCACACACACACACACACACACACACACACACACACCTGGGGGCTGCAGGCTCGGGTGGGTTCTGTGGGAGGTCCTCCTCGAAGCAGCCCAGGGGCCAGGGGGGCGCTGGGAGGCTCCAGCCAGACCTCGGGCCGCGGGGCGTTGTGGGATCGGAGGTGCCGCTCTGCAGACTCAGGAGGCCCAGGTCTCGCCCCCCGCTGAACGCCACAGACAGGCAGCCTGTGATGGGCGTCTTACCAGACACGGTTAGACCTGGTCCTCTGTCTAATACTGTCTGGTAATGCCGTCCATCCACGGCCCGGTCGCCGGAGGAGGGCCCCTCGCCGACGCCGGTGGAAGTCGAGGTCCACTGTACAGGCCACACTGGACGTCGCCAGCCCATGACGCTGGCTGGGGGAGTCCCCTGGCCCCGGTGGGCTTTCTGTCACATAATAAACCGCTGGGCAGTTCGGGTGTGGGGCACCGGGCCTGGCCTCTGTTCCTCCTGGGGCACAGCCTCCCCCACGGCCCAGAGGGCCCCCCACTAGGGTCGGGCTTTCTGTCACATAATAAACCGCTGGGCAGTTCGGCCTCTGTTCCTCCTGGGGCACAGCCTCCCCCACAGCCCAGAGGGCCCCCTACTAGGGTTTTTGTGTCCCCACCCGCTGCGGGCCCTGCCACGAGGCCAGAGAGACAGGAGTGTGGTCAGCCCCACCCCTGCAGCCCAGCCTGGAACCCTCCCCAGGGAGGTGGCCTCACCCTGACCCCCCACACCTGTACCAGGTGGGGGTGCCTCAGGAGGGCAAGACAGAAGCAGCCCCAGCCCCCCAACTCCCACCCACGGTGGGAAGACGACCCCTGGTGGGCAGTGCCCCAGAAACCCGCTGCCCTGCCACCCCCTGGAGGGCCAGTGGCGGGAGGGCACTGGGGGTGAGACCCCACCCTCAGCCCAGAGCAGGAAGCTGGGGGAAGGAGGGGGTCGGGCAGGGGCAGCCACCTCCTCCCTTCCTCAGGCCTCGGGGTCCCCACCAGGTCCCCACCACCTGTCTCTGGGGCCTGGCAGTTGGGGGACATGCTCTCCTGGGGCCCCACAGCCCCCCTCACCTCCACCCCGCCCCAGACTTTGGGTCGCCCCACCCTGCTCCCTCTGCTCGCCAACCTGTGGCTCATGGAGATGTCCTGTCTAAAGCTGTCCCCCAGACCACACTCTGATGCTGGCCCCACCCCAGCATCTGTCTGTTCCCCCAAAGCCCCTCCCTTCCCCCCGAGAGCTCTCGGCGGGTCCCAGGGCCCAAACCTGCCTCAGCCACGGCTCTGCCACCGGAGTGGGGGGGGTCTCCAGGCCCCTGCCTCTCCCCCTCGTTCCCCGCTCTCCCCGAGTCTTCCCTGAACTCGGTCTGCATAGCCAAGTGCTAGAGCAGAAAGAGGGGGTGAGGGGGCCCCAGAAGGCCTCTCTGAGCAGGTGGCCAAGGGGGGACCAGGCAGACCCTGCTGGAGCCAAGCAGAGACCCCAAGGCCAGAGACTGCCTGGCACCGTGAGGAGACTTCCTGCCCCACGTCGAGGAGGCCCGGCCCTGCCCAGCAAAGGCGCCCACTGCCCAGGCCACACCATGGCTACCGGAGGGCGCTGGGCCGGTCCAGCTCCCCTGGCCCCTCCTGCCTCCAGCAAACCTGGGGCCACACCACCCCTGCCGGAGCCCCCGGCTGGGGGTCCCCAGCGCCTGAGACCGGGGGCCCCAGTGCCCAGTGAAGAGCCTGGCCAGGGCCCCACCCCTGTGGGCAGAGCCTCTGCAGCAGGACGGACCCCAAGGCCCCCCCCCCGGCACTGAGAGGCATGTGGGTGTGGCTGCCTCTGCAGGTTCCCAGAGGCCCCCCTCAGTGAGCATGAAGCCCGGGACCCCGAATGTGAGGAGGGGCTTAAGGGGTGCGTGTGTCTTCTGAGGCCACACAGCGAAGGGCCCCCCTGGGGCAGGTGGGGCCTGCAGACATGCTGGTCCCACAGCTGAGGCCAGAGTCACAGCTCAGCGCCCTCAGGAACTCGGCGAAGGTCCCCCCTGCCTCTCCCGGCCTCGGGGGCTCCAGACCCCCCTGGGCTTGGGGCACATGCCCCCAGCCTCTGCCCCCGTCTGCATGCGGCTTCTCCCCTCTCTGTCTCCTCATCTGCCCGCCTCCCTCTTAGGAGGACACTGGTCACTGGATTTAAGGTCCCATCCGCCGGTGCCGGGGCTCAAAATGTGGACACATTGCGGGGCCACCTCCGGCCCTACAAGAAGCAAAGGCGCCCGGCTGGTGTGACTCAGGGGTTGAGCGCCGATCTGTGAACCAGGAGGTCAGGGCACATGCGGGCTCGATCCCCAGTGGGGGGGCGTGCAGGAGGCAGCCGATCAAATGACTCTCATCATTGATGTTTCTCTCCCCCTCTTCCTCTCTGAAATCAATAAAATATGTTTTTAAAAAAGAAAGAAGAAAGGCACTCAACGCAGAGCTCCCACGTGACCCACGCAAGGCCCTGGGAGGCAGGTCACAGCCCAGGCGCGAACACCCCACCCTGGGGGCGAGCTGTCTTACTAGGGCCCCCACTTACTGTTTGATAAAGCGGGGACCCCACGTGCTGGGGCTCTGGTGAGGGAGGTGCAATGTGGCCATGAAGCCGAGTGAGCACAAAAAACCTTCTGGGTCCGGTGTGAGGTCCGGGCGTGGATGTGCGGGTCTTGGGAGGCTGAGGAGTGATCCCGGAGAGAATGGCGGGCCCAGCTCCCCGGGCACCTGGCCCCCGCCCCTCCCTCTCCACCTGCTCCCCTCTGGGCCCTGGGTCGAGGTTGCTGGGAGACGGTTGCCAGGTCACCACTGTTTCCCGGGCAGAGGGATCACACCAGCCGGTAGGGCAGGTGAGAGGGACGGGCGGCCAGCAGCTGGGGTCCTGGCTGGGTGTGAGGGCTGGGGCCTGCCTTCCCTTGCCCCCTGCCTGGCCACCACGGACCCTGTTGGTCCTCTGGGGATCCTGCCCAGGAGCAGAAAGAGGGAGGGGAGGGCGGGGAAGGGTGCCCCCGCTCTGTGCAGAGCCCATGCCCCCAGGGCCACGGCATGTGGGGCACCCACCCCAGGGCCGGGCCAAGAAGGGCATGCCTCCTGGGATTGTTGGCTCCTTGGGGCAGGCGCCTTCGCCAAGGACCAGGTCTGCCTGCCAGAACCGCTGCTCCAAAGGGCAGCCTCCAGACACCCGTGGGGACCCCGGTCCCCGTGGTCAGCCCACCCCCGCCCAGGAGGCGCCAGCCCGGCAGACAATGTGAGCGCCTCCCTCGCACCCCACACCCTCGCGTGGCAGGACACTGACGCCCTCATCCCTTGGCCGTTTCCTGCAGGTGCACACGGGCCTTCCGCTCACGCCGCCTCGGGGCTTCCCGCCGGTCTGCGTACCGGAGCAGGTACCGCGTTCCCGCCACCGTCTCTGGTAGAGGTCGGTTTTCCCGGAGCCCCGCCCCCCGTTGTCCCCGTGCGATGTCGGGGGCCACACCGCGTGCCCCAGCCTCTTCGGCTAAAGCTCATGTCTGTGTTTTGATTCAGTCCTTCGG